TAAAATATTCTGGAGATTTATGGTGATTGGGTGAATAAGTCTCATAATGGGGATTATTTTTGGATAGAACTAGGATTTGGTTTAATAACTTAAAGGTGGTTCATGGATGAGTTTAAGGTTTTAAATGTCCCTTTGAAAAATGTGAAATTTGGTCAGAATATTATGTCATTTAGGGAGGAAATTTATATTTGAAATGTGATTAAAATGGAATAAAAATCAAATGGCGATATCATGTAGGAAGTGCCTATTAGTATCCGCTAATGATATTTCATATATTTTCATGATGACAATCAGAAAAAAATTATTGCGACAGTATTTTGTTGGAGTGTTGCCATGCAACACAGTAATTTTTGGAATTGAAAATATTTACACATCCGAGTTTTATACTTTGCAGTGTCAGCTTTCTGTTTGGGGACTGGTTCCTTCATGGGAGAGGTTTGATGGTTTGTAAGCGCCGTAAGGTGGTGCGAGTGCATATGGGATTATTTGAAAAAGTAGATATTGATTCAAGGCGTATAATCGATAACTAGACTTTTGTTTTGATGATTTAGAATACACGCAAAAAGACCGGGTATAAACACTTTGTTGATACGATTTATTACAAGTTTTGAAGAACTTGGCCTTTTTTCAATATTTGAATAAAATTAGTTTCGTTTCTATACTCAACGTAAATTTATAAATCCAATGAAACTGTAGCATTGGTGTGAAATTAAGTGATTAAAAATGTACTCGTAATTTAAGAGTTCAAGTAAATGCACTATTTGGTGTAGTTCAGTCGCTCTTTCGACGACAATAATATTCTGTCATCTTCACTCAGGTCTAATATAATCTTTCTTGACTTGCGACTTTTATCTCTGTAAAAAAAACTTCTCACACTGAAAACTTTATTAATTGAGTGAAATGTGTTAACTTTCTTGGGGAATATCTTGTGTTGTGTTGTGTTGTGCAGATAAGTGTGAAAAGCGATATTACTGCAACCAGAAGCCAAACTGGGAACAATTCTCACGGTGCGTCCGGGAGAGTAACATGTCTAGAAACCTCATCGATTCCTATCTGACAACACTCGGAAACATCAGATTTCACTCGACGGACAACGTGCTTTTTAATTGGCTATTTTTTCTTAGTTTTCATTTCACTCTTTACGAGTTTTAGAAAGTAAATACAAAATAAAATTGTGCTTTAGTGTTCATCTCTGGAGGAGTATAAAACCGTCTTTGTGAACTACTAAAATTTTGCATTTATTTACAAGTCTACATAATGTTAGATATATTACTTTTTGTTGCTTCCTCTTTTGAAAGCAGAAGCGCGGAAGTGTAATTGAATCTTTGAATTTCGAGTTCTTACTTAGCGATTTACAGCAAGTGTTATTCTTGTTGTTTTGTAACTAAAGAAGCTTATTTTTAAGGTTTTGACTTATTAAGAATAAAAAAGTTCGGGAACCTGATGATTACCACTGAATCCTGACGGCCAAAAAACATCGGTTGGACGGGGACGGGCAATTAAGAGATGAAGTCATTAGAAAGCATCCTTGGCATTCCAGATGGCTCCAGCGTCATCGCCACTCCAAAATCGGTGACACGTATGGCGAAGATCTTCCTCACTATGGCCACCTCCGTAATCACCGAATCCTCCGCGCCCCCTCCCCCTTCCCGGCCGCGCATTACCTGCCAACCTGAATAATTCCCGCTCGCGCCGCCTCGCTAATGCGGCGTGACGTCAGCGGAGGCCCTAGCGCGGGCCCTCGCCCGCCCTCTCGCTCGCTCGGCTTTAACGCCCTAATCCCGCGGGACCCTCCGTCGTCCCCGCCGACGCCGCAGCTGCCATCACCGCTTCCATCGCGACCGCTGTCGACATCTCCCCGCACCACAGTCACCGCCAAGCTCTACTTTCGTACCACCGGTCGGGAGCTTAGGGCTGGTCCCGGCTGGGGCGGTGCCCCGCTGGTGGAAGATATCTGGGTGGGGAAGACCCCGCTAGCCCACGGTAGATCGGTGCCGGATCTCGCCATACTGTGAGGGACAGATCACCGCCACCTCTCGAGCAAAGCAGGCAGCCAGCCAGCCTGAGTGGGAAAAACCCCGCTAGCCGACGGTAGATCGATGCCGGGTTACGCCATTCTGCGAGGGACATATCACCGCCACCTCTCGAGCAAACTCATGCACTACATTTACTGGATTAATGATTCTGGTAGTTGACGTGCCCGGAGTCACTAAAACAATACACAATACACTCGTCCCCAAGAGAGCATCGTCTCCAACGTCACCTCAACCTCCACTGCCTATCCTCTCGGTCGCCGCCTT